CACATAACAACAACAACAACAACAGGTATATTGAAACTTCTAAGTTGGGCTTGAGAAAATGTTTTTTATTTTTATAAAACAGGATATCTTTATAAAAATGATGAAATGCTACTGAAACACTGTACAAAATTTTTATAGCTAGTCTTTGTGTGGTCTGAGTGTGTGGTCCATACTTCAACCTCAAGCTCTTCAGATGATATCCCAACCTTTTCCACTCCTGGATGTGTATGCTGCCTCACCTCTCACCAGCCCAGACTCTTGTAGTATCCCTACCAGGGCCTTACCAGCTCTTCTCTATTTTGTCCTCCTTTCTCATGTCACCACATCCACATTCAAACAGCTTTTGAAGCCTTGATTATCTGCACAGAAAAGTGGAAAACAAAATGATGAGACACATTTAGCCATTAGTATCTACATAATGAATGGTGTTTAGGTGCTGCCTGAGAAGCTGTATATATGACTCCATTCAGAAGTGTCAAAGAAAAAAGACTTGTCAGCGAACTCCCATAAAAACAATGAGTAAAGACCTTCAGGAGCACAACTCTACTCTGACAGGCATGCATCGTCATGAGCTGGTGTCAGCTCCATATAAACTGGTTATTCACGAAATAGACAAAAGTAGGAGGGGAGAGAAGAAAACCATGTTTTCCAATTTCTAGTAACTATTGCTGAGGGTTATATGCGAATGCAAAGGTTTGTTCTCCTTTTTGTGTAGTCATGGATCCTGGGAGTGATTCATTTCTACAGGGAAGAGACCAATGCACCCAAGGATTAAACAGTAAAGTGTCCTTTACATCTGAGGAGGCTTGCCCTTCAGTGGAGGAGGAGCTACCAGGAGAGGGTTAGCTGAGGACCCAGATCCTAAAACCATGGGCTGGAGGTCACACTTTTACAATTCTGTGATATCATAAGAAACAGCTATTTGTTACAGGGCATTGCTTGCGGATTATTTCGATACTTATTTTGCTGGTGAAAATATTTTTAAAGTATTTTTAAAAATAATCTCATCAGGATTGATGGCGAAGAGATTGAGATTGTTCACAGCTTCAGTTTGCTCGGCTCCACAATCAACACTCTTGGCACCAGCAGCCAGGAAATAAAAAAATGTATTGCGATGGGAAAGTCTGTGGTTAGGGACCTCTCTAAAGTACTTAAGAGCAACGGTGTCTCTTTGGAGATGAAGGTGCACCTGATACAGGCCATGGTCTTTGCAATCACTTGTTATACATCAGAGAGCTGGATAATGACTAGGGAGGACAGAAGGAGAATTGATGCCTTTGAGCTGTGGTGCTGGAGAAGAGTATTGAATGTACCGTGGACTGCCAAGAAAACAAACAGCTTCAACCTGGAGAGGATTAACCCAAGCAACTCCTTGGAGGCAAGGATTCTGGGGCTTCGTCTGACATACTTTGGACATGTTGTAAGGAAAGACAGGTCCTTGGAGAGGGACATCATGCTGGGTAGGGTAGAAGGACAGCACAGGAGGGGAAGACCCTCTATGAGGTGGATTGATTCAGTGACTGGGGTAATCGGGATGGGTGTGTCAGAGGCAGTGAGACTGGCACAGGATAGAGCAGGGTTTACGGCTGTTGTACGTAGGGTCTCTATGAGTCGCAAACGATTCGACGGCACATAACAACAACAACAACAACAATCTCTTATTTATCAACCAAAGTAATTCCCTTGTGAATTGGACTTGTTAATCATGGTGCAAAGGGCTTCCAACTGTTTTTGGATTTCTCTTGCTTCTACACATTCACAATTTGATATTTTTTTCCCTGGGATGTGTTTTTCTCCCTAATGAAAACCTTTGAATTTTTTTATTAGACCTTGGGAGAATGGATAATAAAATTTTCATTGAAAATATCTAAAGAGGTGCACACAGGCAAACACACAAAAGTGTCAGTCTTTTAGTAAACATACATGGTCCTGCAGTCTACAGCTGCTGGCCAGGATGGACTCTGTAGAGGAGTGGCTGGAACACGTCATTCTACACGGCACCAGTGGATTAGTAGGTGTGACTGATTGTCAAATCAAATCATTCCTGTCAGTTCTCTACAGCCATTGATCAGAGGTACAAATAGCCAGACAGTGACAAGATCCAATCATCATCTCCAGAATAACCTAGACATTCAAAATAGTCATCATTAATGATGAGGCCTATGATATAGATATGGAAGCCCAAGGGGTAGACAAGTGAGTGTCTGCAAATGAGGAAGCTGAAGCCCAGAAAGGTTGAGTTTCTACCAACTAGTTGGAAGGGCTGGTCTCTGACGTGCTATTCTGGACACAAGATTGGAGTCCTGTGTTCCTGTGTATCTACTCTTCAATACCCTATTTACCCAAGAAACACAGAGATACTCCTAACTGACACAATTTCAGAGAACCAAGAGGACTCCATCAGAAGGACTAAGTTTGGGGTGTAGTGAACTCTATGACAAACCTCAGACTGACTCCTGCTTTCACTCCAGGTCACTGAGGGGACAGCATAAACGCCATTTTTTAAAAAAACCCCATTAATATCAGAAGCAGAAGTGGGCCATAAAAATTCTTAGCTTAAGGCAAACACGAATGCCCCGGGTAAAATCTTATCTGTCCTTACAAAGTAAAGAATTAACTAGTGTCTACGTGACACAAAAAGAGTAAAGGCAGGCAAAGTAGCCAGCCCATCAAAAGCTGACCCACATGACTGATACCCCAGCTCACCAACCATGCTCCCAATCTCCCCGCCCTAACCATAGCAGACAGGAAAGCCTTAAATTGCGCAGGGGGATTCCGGGCTTTTCCCCTCACCACTTCCTACTGAGGGAGAAAGTCTCCACATGTGGAATTTAATAAACGCTCTTGAATTTTCATACGTGTGATGACTGGATTTCTTTTGAGGGCATTTAGTGGGCAGAACAGTCACAAGCTCACAGCCATCTCTTTCACACCCTCCCAGCCCTGACTCAGGCAACTGCTCTGGTTACCTTTTATCAGGCTCAAACCTCTAAAGCTTGAATTTCTAATAGACCTCAGTACAACACTTCAGTTTAGCAACCTCCTCAGATCATAGAAAACAACCATAAAATCGGAGGTTAGCTTAAGATTTGCTGCAGATGATTTATGCTCCTATGTAGAGTCAAGGGAAGTAGGCAGGTATCTGTCTTGTGAATTTTACTGAATGTCGCTGCCCTTTCCTCACCTGCAGCCTCAGGAATGCCAAAGTAGGGAGCAAGGGGTGCTCAAAGAGGACTACCACCTGAAGATCCAAGTTAACTACTCAGCCACAGGGAATTTTGAAAACCATTGCCTCACCTCCACCCACTCAATAAAAGATATCGGATTTGCATTGATTCACTCATGGCTTCTTCAGTGAATAAATATCTTTACTAAAGATAGATGGCAGAGGAGAGAATGTGTAATCTTCAGACACAAAAAGAGCAGGGCCCAGCATATGAGGAAAATGACTCTGATTTGCACCCACAAGACAGATAAAGCAAAAGGTGTTTTGGTTTTTTTTAAATTATATTGGTTTGCTTACAAAGTTCATATACATTGTGTTTCGCACTATTCTTCATTCACATTGTGTTTCATACAATCATTCCCATGCATTATATTCTATAAGTTTAATCACCATTGGACTATACCCATTATTACCATATTTTTTAGGTCCCACCAGATTTTTCCCATTTATTTACCCCTTCTCTCCATTCATAATTGTGCAACCCTTCAATTTTGTCCCTACCCATCCTCATACCTCTGCTCCCACCTCTTACTCACCTTGAGTTCCCATATATGTTTTACTGGTTGTCCTTCTATTTCTACAATAATGGTCTTATGCAGTATTTGTTCTTATGGTACTGCATTAGTACACTAAGCATAATGCTCTCTAGTCTTTCTCAAGTTATGCAGAATTTTTTGAAATCATTGCTTCTGAGTGTTGCATAGTGTTCGATTGTGTGAATGCACCAGTTTCTCAGTTCATTCATTTGTGGTTGGACATTTGGGTTTTATCATCACCACCCTCCCCTGGTGACCTTAATACTTGAAATGATGTGGAGCAGAGGGAGAAGCAGTGTTTGCAAATGATGTTTCCCAAAATTAGTTTTTCAGAATGTCAAGTGTTGGTAGATAGTTTATCCTATTAATGTACCCCAAATGGCAACATTTAAGCTAAGCTAACTGAGTTTTTAGATTTGTCTTTTCTAGTTTCTTCCTGAAATTAAACTATCTTGGCCTAAAACACTCTTCATTCACGGAATACTTTTTCCTTTCTGACGTCGTATCTTCTCCCCCTCGTTTATTTAACTTTTTTTAAAAAAAATTTCTTTTATTTCTCTGATTTATTTTTAAAGTTTGGATACATTGTTTTTCACAAAAGATCCTTGCCATTTATTTATATTTTTGTAAGCACCATAGGACAGTTCCAACATTAGGTCTTGGCAAGCTTCTCCTTTGACCTTGGAGGCTATGCTTTTTGTTATCCATGTGGCTCACTCTTCACCTTCTTGAGTGTTTATTCAGGACTTCCCTGAGATCTCCTTAAAAAAATAGTATAGTCTTTCACTTTCTGACCCCTTATCTTCCTTGAAATTTCTTCATCATATTACTACATGCCACTTTATTATATGTAATATGCATTATAATTTTATGTAAATGTATATGTATCCATTCTTCTAGGTGGTATAGCACTGGTCTGTGCATTGCTGTACAGAGGTAACTCGTGGTTGCTGTGATGCTGAAGCCTGTGACAGTAGTGTGCCAATCGTGGTAATGGGTACCCATGGTGGACAGTGTTGGCTGGAGCTTCCCGACTAAATCAAGCCTGGAAGCAGGAGCGGCATCCACTTCTGAAATGGCTTGCCTCTGGAAACTCTATGTACGAACAGTGCTCAGGCTGTTCGTTCATAGGGTCGCTATGAGTTGTCTATGACTTGATGGCATCAAATAACAACAACAACATATGTATCCATGCCTATCTATAGGAGATCTACTCCTGATACATTAACTGCCTCTGAAAACCCACTGGAGGGTAATCTATGAGTCAGTTTCAGCTTGATGGCACACAGCAAGCAGGCCTATCTATAAGGTGCTCTGGTGGCTTAGTGGAAAGGAATTGTGCTGTTGACTCAAAGGCAAGTGGTTTCAACCCACTAGAAGCTTTGCGGGAGAAAGATGGTCAGTCATCTGTGCTGTGTACTTTTCTGCCTTTGAAAACCTACTGGTGGTTCAACTATGAGATGATTCTGACTCTATGGTACGTAACAGTAACAACAACAAGACCACCACCACCACCACCACCACACTTATCTATAAGGTTGCAAAACCAAAGATCAATGACTTGAACCCACCAGTCACTCTATGGAGAAAAGAAACAGCAGTCTGTGTGCATAAAGATTGGAGCCTCAGAAAAATCTATGGGGAAGTTGTACTCTTTTCTATAGGATCATTATGAGTTGAAAGCAACTCATCTTTCTATTAGAATATAAACTCAATCCAGAAACTGGGGCTAATCTTGCTATTCCTATTTTACCAGCAGCTACTGTGCACAGAATAAGGTTTCAATGACTGTATACTTAATTCCAGCCCTGCTATCTTTTATGAGGCTTGCATTGTATTTCCATGTGTCCATTTCAAGTCAGAAAAAATGGAAATTCTGCCCCAAACTGTGATGTTGTCTGAGTGGCTTGGATAAGTAACTCGCCTCTGCAAATTTGGAGGTTATTGTTGAATGTCCTCAAGGTCAAAAGGACTAACTCTCCATGAAGTAGATGACAGGGAGGTAGAAGAGGTGAGTAGAAACTAAGAATCCATATAAGCATCTAAAAAATTTATTTGAAACTTTGAAAATGCAGTATACAAGAAGACCTCTTATAGCCAGAATTTAGCTAGGTGAATGTTCTTAAAAATAATTTTTACATAAAACATCTCAATGTTTCTATGAGTTGAGAATTTCTGAGTCATGCAAGCAATTAATAATTTTTAAAAAATATACTGCTAACCTGAAGATTGGTGTTTCAAGTCCACCCAAAGGTGCCTTATGTGAGAACCTCAGCCATCTACTTCAAATAAACAGTCATTAAAATCCCTGTTAAACACAGTTCTCCTTGGGCATACCTCGAGTTGCCAGAATCAACTGAGTGGCAACTGGTTTTGGTTATTTGGGTTGCAAGAAACGATTCCACAAAATATATTAGTATATATTTAACCACCTAGAAATAGACATCTACACAGGTAATCTCCAGAAAAGTAGATTTTGTTGTACTTCATGTGTTTTAAGATTCCAAGAAGAGCTGAAAGAGCAGTACAAAGCAGCCTCCTGGGATTTCAGTCAAGAATGCGGGAACCTTTGGCCTAGTGCCTCACCAATATTGAGACCAGCCATATAATTTTTTTTACTTTTTTTTTTAATGCACCTTAATCTAACGGCATGTTTTAAGTTTCTCATTTCAAATACTAAAGAGCTAGTTCTTTTGGCCAATTGTGTATCTATTAATACTCAAAATCTGGCATGAAAAACAACATATACGAACTTTGTAAGTAAACTAGTATAAAATAATAAAAATAATCGTAAAAAAAAGAAGTTATAAAGTCCAATGATAAGATTTCTAAGCACCTACAGTAGATAGGAGGCAAGTAACAAAGAATGTCCAACATAAGAGCATAAAGCTTCTCAATTTTTAAAAAATAATCATTTCTGAAATTTCTTCTTATTTAATGAGATAATCAGTTCTTTAAATTCCACCTTCTTCTTTCTGCTGGTTCATGGATGGAACCTATCCTGCTGTCCCTTTGTCATTGATAGCATTGTTTCCAAAAAGCAGATCAAAGACCCAGAATGTTTTAATCATCCCTAGTACTCAGCTGCCTTGGAAGAGTAGCGTGTATATATATATTGTTGTTGTTGTTAAGTGCCATCGAGTTGCAGGCGACTCATAGCTACCCTATGAAGAAGAGTCTTTGATGCTTGGGTGCCTTTCATCCTCTCTCCAAGTTCATAGGGTTTCCGGAGGCAAGCTATTATGGAAGTGGATGCCACTCCTTCTTCCACGCTTGTTTAATCGGGGAGCTCCACCCCACTCTCAGTCCACATTGGGTAGCCAACCATTAACACATTTGACACATCAGTGTCCGAGGGTTCAGCCTCACAGCAACCACAAGCAACTGCAGGACGGCTACTTGTACACCAGGGCTATACGACCTAGAGGAATGTCTGAACAAAAACAATGAAAGACTGGCCCGAGGGCTGCATATATATATATATATACACACAAACACACACACACACACCCCTTCCTGGAATGAGCTCTCCACTTTCAAATAAAAGAACAATCTAGCAGCACAAGTGACAATCTAAATAGTTGTAATTATGTGCTATGGAGTTGCCTGTGACTCATAGCAACCCTATGTATAACAGGTCTAAACGCTGCTCTATCCTGTGCCAATCTCACTGTCTCTGACACAGCTACCTTCATTACCCCAGTCGTGGAATCTATCCATCTCATTGAGGGTCTTCCTCTCCTGCTCTGTCCCTCCACCCTCCCAAGCATGACATCCCTCTCCAAGGATTGGTCCCTCCTTGCAACACGTCCAAAGTATGTTAGAAGAAGCTTCAGAATCCTTGCCTCCAAGGAGCAGCCTGGTTTCACCCTCTCCAGGATGAACCTGTTTATTCTCCTAGCAGTCCATGGTATATGCAATACTTTTCTCTAGCACCACAACTCAAAGGCATCAATCCCTACTGTCATCCCTAGTTATTGTCTAGCTTTTTTTTTCATGGTGGAAGCAAAGTAACTTTATATAACTAAAAAATTAAGCTTGTTTTTCTGTCCTCAAATATACAGCACAAAAGTATACATGAATACTGTCAGTGCAATTCTACCAAGATTGTTGAAAAAATAATAGTTATCAACATGTATGAGGAAGATGATAAGGCATTTTAGGAAAAGTTGCGACCTGTTCTGAATGGGGATATAATCTCAGTTTTGGCTACCATAACTTTGTAGTTGCCTTGTATCAGCAGGTCTGAGCTAGCTAGCATTTATTTAAGAAACATTGTTAACATGTGAGGGACATTTTTGAAACAACCATCTATGCTTTATTTCGAAATATTTTACTTGAAATCAGGTTTTTCATGATTGGCAGAACATGAGTAAATTTTCAAAAGGAAATGAAACTTCTACATGTTTGGTAATTTAAAATACACATTTAGTACTTTAAGGGATATACTACATAGTCTTTCATTAAAAACACAAAACAACACACCATTTCCCCTCTTTAATGAAATTTTCTATAAAATACGAAGTATAAACCCTTATGTGACCAACATTTTTTAGAAAGTCTTCCAAATATTTCATTAAATGAGCACTGCTAGAATGATAAGGTAAAATGGCATATATTTTAGATACATATGTGCATTTTACAGTGCAGATAGACTTAATTAGAATTAGCTGCCACCTAACATGATGAAGACAATCAGGAGCTCTGGTGGAATAATTATAGGGAGGTGCGCTGCAAACTTAAAGGCAGATGGTTTGAATCTACCAGTGACTGGCAGGAAAAAGATGGACACTCCGATGCCATTTACAGGCTCAGAAAACCTGATAGCCGTCTAGTGAGTCAGTTTTGACACAATGGCAATAGAGAGAAAGAATTTACCTGTACTCAAAGGTAAGCTTACAAAAGCTTTGTAAGCTAAATGTGCTGTAATAAATGGAATAACTGCCATTGGTAAACCAGCTGCTATCCGAGCCTGTGTCACATTTAAGATGCGTTGAAAAAGACTGTTTGATATTAGGCCACAAAGAGCAGCTTTAAGCCCAATGTGTGTTGATCCATGTTCAAGTAGATTCTTTTCAACTTCTGGAAGTTGGTTAAGTTTTCTGGTTATAAATTCAATTAGGTATTATGTTTTCCTTGATTGTATCATCCGGTTCATGATTTTTCATCTTGGAGCCTTATTCCCGGGGTGCTCTGGTGGCCTAGTGGCAAGAAGCCACGCTGCAATCCCGAAGGCAAGCAGTTAGAATCCACCAGATGCTCAGCCGGAGAAGGAGCAGCAATCTCCTGTACCAGCCAGATCCTTATATTCCCCTTCTTTCAACAGACTCCGCTGGTTTTCCTCAACTACACAAGGGTACGAGATAACCTCTGCTTATCTGGCCAGGCGCAGCCATCTTTCTGTCTAGCTTTAAAATAGTTATTGTTGTTGTTGTTAAGTGTCATCGAGTCACAGATGACTCATAGCAACATTATGAACAAAAGACCTGAACACTTGTATAACTTTCATCATTTTGGAAGTGGATGCCACTCTTGCTTCCAAGCTTGTTTTAATCAGGGAGCTCCACCTCTAAATAGCAGCCTTGATAAAATAACACTAAGCCCAGGACCCAGGAGAGATGTCACCTTCTGACCTCAAAAAAGATCCACAGAAAGTGAAAAATTTGCAGATTAAGAATGGTAAATTTAAAGACACCACCATACAGATTCACTATCATCTGTCAGTCTGTTGTATGGTGCTGGAAGACACATCACCAGAATTTCAAATAGCTGCAGGATCACCCACGATATACAGATTTTAGTAAAGATTCCAGACTAACACTAGGAAGAAAGACCGGGCAATAAATTTCCACAAAAGATGAAAATTCTATGAATCACACCAGAATATTGTCTGATATAGGGAGCTCTGGCTGCCTAACAGATAAAGTGTTGTGCTGTCTGCTCAAGGTGGACAGTTCAAATCTGCCAATTGCTTAGTGGGAGAAAGATTGACAAGTATCTCTAAACAGCCTTTAAAAACCTTCTTCAGCATCAACTCTGAATCAGTTCTGACTTTGTAGAAATGAATGATAGTAAGGAAAAATTAGCCTCCTTAGGTTGGAGGCACTCAAAATACACAGAGGCCACACCAACGAACTCAACAGTCACTATGGATGAAACAAGACTTAGTCACCATAAATGGGAACTGACAAGCAGTAACTGATAACAGCATTCCTACGGATAATGTTCACCTCTTCAGAAAAAAAAAATAAAAAGAGTTGCTGTGATGTCCAGATGCTCAAAAGGATCCTATCACAAGTATTATAGAGACACCAGCATGGCCACTGGTGTCACAAAGAGGGGGAGTCACCACGAATATCCGGCAAAGCAACAATGTCAGTGTTCTCCACTGACTCAGTATGACTGGTGAAAAAGAAGACTATTTCTGATTTAAACTACCCTGACTCTATCGTTTTCAATCTGTGTGATACGAGTCAATAATTTTTATTCTTTCACTTTCAGCGAACTCATCTGTAAAAGAGAGGTGTTTGCTGAAAGTGAAGAGGACTTGGAGCACTTAGTGAAGAAGATGAAAGATTATAGCCTTTAGTGTGGATTATTAATGTTTTTGAGAAGAGTGTTGAATATAGCATGGGTTGCTTGCAGAACAAACAGGTTCATCCTAGACAGGGTGAAGCCAGGCTGATCCTTGGAGGCAAGGATTCTGAAGCTTCATCTGACATACTTTGGACTGGTGCAAGGAGGGACCAGTTATTGGAGAGGGATATCATGCTTGGAAGGGTGGAGGAACAGAGAGAGAGAGAGAGACCCTCAATGAGATAGATTGATACAGTGATTGGGGTAATGAGGGTAGGTGTGCCGGAGACAGCAAAGTTGGCACGGGATAGAACAGGTTTTAGGGCTGTTGTACATAGGGTCTCTATGAGTTGCAAGTGAATAGATGGCACATAACAACAACAGTGTGGATTGTAACTCAGAATAAAGAGAATTGAAACCTTCACAATGTTAATCTTTCCCCTATTTATTTTGGTAAGCAACATAATAATAAATGGATAAAGAATTGACGTTGCCAAGGATTTCATTTTTCTTGGATCCACAGTCAACACCCATGGAATCAAAAGTCAAGAAGTCAAGCAGCATATTGCTCTGGGCAAATCTGCTGTAAAGGATCTCTCTTTAAGGTGCTAAGGGGCAAGAAAATAACATTAAAGACTAACATGGATCCTGCTCAAGCCACATTATTTTCAATTGCTTCAGATGCATGTGAAAGTAGGATAATGAATATAGACGGCTGATGCCTTTGAATGTGGTATTGGCAAAGAGTGCTGAATACATGACCGATTGCCAAAAAAATGAGCACACATGAGTTGGAAGAAATGCAGCCAGGATCCTTCTTAAAAGTCAGGATGATGAGATTTCATACCACATACTTTAGGCATGTTATCAAGAGGGGCCAGTTTCTGGCAAGGGACATCATGGTTGGAAAAGGAAAGGGTGAGCAAAGAGAGGAAAGCCTTCAGTGGGATGACTTGGCACAGTGGCTACAACAATTGACTTGAGCACAGCAGACATTGTGAGGATGGTGGCAGATTGGGCAAGACCGAGGTCTATCGTGTGTAAGGTTACTATAAGTAGGAGCCAACAATAAGCATTGCACAACAACCAGAACACCTCTTGGAAGCAAGGACAATAAAACTTCATTTCACTTACTTTGGACATATCATCAAGAATAAAACAATTACCAGAGGAGGATGTTCAATTGGTATAGAAGAGAGTCATTGAAAATGAGAGAAATTTTCAGTGAGATAGTGATACACCACAGCAGCAGACACAATCATACAAAGGGAGATGTCATGGATCCAGTCAACATTCATCTTTAATGTTGTGTGAGTTGGAGTCAACTTGATGGCAACAAAAACAAGGGATTACTTTAACAGACAATCTTGGAGAAGGACATGAGAATTCCAGAGAATCTCCATAGCTTTAGGCACATAGACACAAACTCTACTCCTTACTCCCCACAAACACAAGTTACATAGAAAAGAAGAATGTGTCTGTTGAACTATGGAATTCAATAGGCCAGAGCTCAAATATTGATGCTGACAAAATCAAAATACACCATTATTTAAGCTTGGTTTCTTTGTCTGTAAATGACCCTGTATCCAAATCATCAATGTGGTTCTCAATAAACACAAGGTTTCAGGGCTCCATCAAAGTCTACTAAATCAGGAATGCTGGGAGGACCCATAAATCTAAAGTTTGATGAACTAATAGAATCCCAGCCTCCAGTGACTATGTTTAACCACAAATTTGATAGCTGGAAGCATGTTGCCAGCAGGCCATGAACCTGCTGAATGCTCTCAGAGGAGTGGAGATCTTCATAAAAGGGTCTGTGTTGCCAGAGGAATGCAATAAGCCCCCAGTTTACCAACAAAACACACTACATCGTTCCTACAACCCCACTGTAGGTGACTGATGCTGAGGGAATGGATAAGATCTTGAAAATAAAATAGGAAAGAGATTCTGAAGTAGTTTCAGAGGGGAAAATGGGAAGAAATGGAAAAGCACAAATGGCTAATAAGGTTAATACTAGGACAGCTGGAGGCATTGTCAGCCCATCTTAGAGGCAGGCAAAAAAGAATAAGTAACACCGGGGAGACATTCATTACTCAGAGAAATAAACAACACAGAGTCAAACGGCAGCGTTTTCCCAGAGAGAAAGCACAGGACGCAGAAAGGGGTAGGATAGAAGGCTTCGTGGAAATGAGAGTTACCTGGAGGAAGTGGGAAAAGTGTGGTCACATTTTGAGTATCGTAATTAATATCATAAAACAGAATGTATATGAAGGACTTAGTGAAAAAATCAATATACTCTCTAAGCTTATATTCAAATCACAGTAAAACTATTTAAAAATGAATAAAAAGAAGCAGCCAAATTCATAGCATGACCTAGTTTGAAAGACAATGTTGAAGACAAATTTTTCAAGGAACATTTATTATATATGTTGTTATGCACTGATTTATGTCTTCCAAAAATACATGTTGCAAATCCTAACTTCTGCAGCAGTATAATCTTATCTGGGAAAGTTTTCTTTGTTATGCTAATGAGACTATATTAATGTGTGTTTCAGATCAATCGATTTTGTGATAGAGAAAAGATAAAACAAGCAATGAAGCCAGCAGAGATGGGAGAAGATAGACATTATGCCACATGAAGATTAACAAGAATAAAAGGATCAGTAGTTGAAAGGACAAGGATTATGTACGTATGCGTGGTATTTCTGTTGTAGCTGCACCTGATAATTAATCAAATAGATAGCATCTAATACTCACATATTTGAGCATGTTGTTAAGAAGGGCCAGCAAATGGAAAAGGACATTATATTTGGAAAGAGAAGATTCTCAGCAAGATAGATTAACACAGTGACTGTAGCAATGGGCTTGAATATATCAGGGATGGCGAGGATGCATAAGATAGGGTAGGATTTAGATCTGTTGTCTAGAGGGTCATTATAAGTCAATAACCTTCATTATGCAGATACCACAACCTTGCTTGCTGAAACTGAGGAGGACTTAAAACATTTGCAGAACATCAAGGACTCTAGTCTTCAATATGAATCAAAGCTCAACATCAAGAAAATAATGATTTTCACCACTGGGCGAATTGGCAGCAGTACCATAATAGATGGAGAAGAGATTGAGTATATTACTATTTGATCTTCCTCTTTGCACTAGCAGTCAGGTAATCAAAAGACAAATTGCATTAGGAATAATTGCTGTCAGGGATCTCTCCAGAGTGCTGAAGAGCAATGATGTCAGTATAGAGACTAAGGTGAGCCTGATCCAGGCCATGGTCTTTGCAATTTTTTGCTATTCATCAGAGAACTAGACAACGACTAAAGATGCTGGAGAAGAGCATTGAACATACCATGGACTTGCAACAGAATAGACTGGTCTGCCCTGGAGAGGGTGACACCAAATTGCTTGTTTGAGGCAAGGATTTTGAGGCTCCATCTCACATACTTTGGGCATGTTGCCAAGAGAGACCAATCCTTGGAGAAGGATATCATGCTTGGAAGGGTGGAGGGGCAGTGCAGGAAAGCAAGACCACAGATGAGA